GTGCAGAAAATGGGTGAGGGAATAGTTGTAGGAGGTGAGAGTCATACTCAAGAAAAATGTCATTTGTCCCATCAGGATGCCTAGGGCTGGTCCTGATTCATGCTCTTACTCTATTCCTATGTGTGTCTTGTTTTTAATTGAAAAAAAGAGTTGGTCTTATTTAACCAAATCTTTCCTCCTGCTCTCTGAGTGGGATCTACTCACCCCTGGCACCAGGGCTACTTGTTTGCCTGTTTTTACAATACTACAGAAAATGTCAATATTGTATTTTATAAATACAAGTTATAATGGTCTGTATTAGGTGTAAAACCAAATAGCTTACTACTTTAATAATGGGCAGAATTCTGTGCAGTGAAGACCTTGGGAGCTTATTCATGATGATTATCTAGGGTGTATCCTTAAGGTGAAGGCCACAACATATGTTAGTTATGACATTCCCTTTGTCAGAGAAACATTCATTTGTCCTTAACTTGTATCTTATATACTTGCCTCATTTTTTGTTAAAATATTAGGGTTACTAAGCAGTTTTATCTTGAGTTTCAGCCTACTTCCCCCCTAAAAAATTACTTGTAGGAAAAATGGATTTAGCCTTTGGGGTGGATGGTTTTGAATGTTTTTTTTTTTTTTTTTTTTTTTTTTTTTTGGTTTGGTGCCCTGATCAGGAATTGAACCTGTGACCTTTTGGTGTGTTGGATGACACTGAACCAACTGAGCCTCGCTGGCCAGGGTGATTTTGAATGTTCTGTTTAAGAGTTTTAACTTTGAAGTCATTTAAGATTTTGGATTGAGAGAGCTAACATTATCAGACTTTTTATTTTAGCAAGATAATCTGATGTCAATATAGGATGTTTTAGAGGAGATAGGAAATAGATCTCATTAATTCTGCAGCATTTGTTAAATACCCTACCAGATGTCTGGCTTGTACAAAACAGTGGAAATGTAGAGATGGTAGACATAGTGCCTGCACTCTAGGACCTTACAATCTATTAGGGAAGATAAATAGTTAAACTTCGTCATAAATTTATGCAGTTATTGGCATTGTTAAGGGAAATACAGTATAGATGGAAATACAGAGGAGACATCCATTTCTGACTAGGAATTTCAGGGAAGGTTTCTTAGAAATAGTAATAAATTAGTCCTACTTAATTTTTTTTTTTTTTAATTACACTTTACATTCAGTATTATTTGTATTAGTTTCAGGCATACAGCTATGTGTTTAGGCAGTCATATCCACCTGACACCATAGTTTTTACAATATTAACTATATTCATAACGCTGTACTTTACATCTTCATGACTGTTTTGTAACTACTAATTTGTATTCCTTGATTTCTTTACCTCTTCTCTCAGTCCCCCAACCTCTCTCCCCTCTGGCAACTATCTGCCTGTTCTCTGTGTCTATGAGTGTTTCTATCTTGTTTGTTCATTAATTTTGTTGTTTAGATTCCACATATAATGAAAACATATGTCATAGAACTATTAAGTCAGGACTCAAACTCAGGTCTCTGAGTTCTAAAACCTGTACTTTTTTGCATACCTGCTACCTCATCGTCACTTCTATTAGGTGACAATGGGGAACATAGACCTGCTTGAAAATTATGACTCCGTACCTAAGCAGTATCACTAAAGTAAAATAAAGCAAAAAATTTAAAGCTACTTTGAACTATGACTGGGTTACTGTTTTATAGACCCCTTTTCAGGTTATGGTGCCATCTGCTGGAAGGTTATGATGTATTATTATGTAAAGACTAGCTTCCAAAAGGCCTGTCACAAGTGTGGAAAAAAAAGTGTCAGGTTTCAAAATGCTAATTCTTAAGTTTCAGTTTAGGAATGTTGGGGAATTTCAGTTTAGGAGTATTGGGGAATTTTTGAGTTAAGTAAATCTACCATGAAATACACTGCTTCATTTATTTTCATTTGTGGTGGTAATAGGTGGCATAGATTTTTTTTTTAAATGATATACTCAGTACTTTACTTTTAACATCTAATAATAGAAAATTTGATTTACGTTGAAATAAGTAAGTTATTGAAGTATAAGAGGACTCTCCATTCAGATATCTTGGAAAAGGAATCTGGAACTTATGGGGACATCAGAGAACAGAAAATGGGAATGAAAGGGGAAGAAGTGTGCAGATAAATATAAAAATGGATTCTGTAAATGTTAATCTATCACAAGGCTCCCAAAATTCAGTCAGGATCCTAACTAGTGCTTTAGAGAAAAAAGTTTAGGATTGTAACTTTAGATTGTTATAATTTAGGACAGTGAAAATTAGAGACTTTTTATAGTCAGTTAAATACTCTGAATGGGGAATCAGATAAAATTTTGGCATGGTCACTGTATATTCTTTTTTAGGTTCCTCTGGGATCACGTTAGTACTCAGTGAATATCTGGCACAGGAAATGTCATTTAGTGTGGGATTGTTCAAGGAAAATGATGCTATACTTAACTCCTGTTTAAATGTGATTAAAACATATTTATAGTTGTATGATGTCATGTTGAACAAATATTTGTGTGGCAAGAGATTAAACCCTTTGATGAAATAAAGAATTAAGGAAAGTACCTTTCATCTCCTTTCTTTGTGTAACTGCCTGAGAAGCTGTGATAGTGCAGTGATACCTTATCTCGGCAGGTAAATTTCTGGAAAGGGCTATCTTTTGGGGTGTGTGTGTAAATTGTAAGGGTAATGCTCATTGTAGAAAACTTGTAAAATAAACAGAAAGATCACACATAATCCCACCACTTAGATAACTATATTAATGTCTTATTAAATTTCCTGTTTTAAAACATTTATATTTTGTTGTCTTTTTATATTACATCACAGTATTATAGCACAAGTCTTTCCTAATGGATCTAAAAACTTACTCAGCATATATATTTGAGGCTACAATATGTGGATATACCATAATTTACTTATCCGTTTTCTTATTATTGAACAATTATATTGTTTACTATTTTTTTCTTTAGTAAATAGGGGTAAGGACTATAATTTTGTGTGGCAGTTGTTTAGAACCTAGCATTTTATGAGTTAAACCAGTCTTGAAAGTAACCAGTGATTGAATTAATATCCGCTTTAGTTCCTCAGATGTGTTCTCTTGGTCCACTTTTCCTGTATATCATTTTCTGTAGGATTTTATAGCATTTATTGGATTCATAGCCCTTTCAGGAAATGCCCTCATAATACCCAGGTTTCAGTTTCTATACCAGGTTAAATATCTCACCCTGAGCTAGAGAGAGCTATATTTCTGATCTTTATATTTATGAGAGACAGTAAAACAGTGGTTACCAGGGTCTGGAAAAAGGGAGATGTTTAAGATACAGAGTTTCAGCCGAAACCGGTTTGACTCAGTGGTAGAGCGTTGGTCTGCGGACTGAAAGGTCCCAGGTTCGATTCCGGTCAAGGGCATGTACCTGGGTTGCGGGCATATCCCCGGTAGGGGGTGTGCAAGAGGCAGCTGGTTGATGTTTCTCTCTCATCGTTTCTAGCTCTCTATCCCTCTCTCTTCCTCTCTCTGTAAAAAAAATCAATAAAATATATTTTAAAAAAAGATACAGAGTTTCAGTTTCATATAATGAAAAGTTCTGGAGAAAGGATATAAAGGCTAGTGATTGTTTCACGAAGTGTCATTGTACTTAAATGCTATATTCTAGGCTTTGAAGACCCAAACTTCAGCCATAGCAGAAAAAGCATGGACTTTGGAACTAGGCAGATCTATTTAAAAGCAAATCTCTTCGCTGAGACAGGTTTGGCTCAATGGATAGAGCGTCGGCTTGGGGACTGAAGGGTCCCGGGTTCGATTCCAGTCAAGGGCATGTGCCTTGGTTGCGGGCATATCCCCAGTGGGGGGTGTGCAAGAGGCAGCTGATAGATGACTCTCTCTCATCGATGTTTCTAACTTCCTATCTTTCTCCCTTCCTCTCTGTACAAAATCAATAAAAAATATATTTAAAAAAAATAAAAAAAAAAATAAAAAAAATAAAAGCAAATCTCTTCTCTTTCTGGGTGTTTGGTTTTGGTCAAGATATTTTTATTACAACGAACATCAGGTTCAGTGTGCATCATAAGGTTATTATAAAAGATTAAATGAGAGAAAACATGTATAGTCATCTTGCACATAGAAAGTATTTGATAGAAGTTTTATTTTCTCTTTTTTTGTATCTTCCATAGTTTCACATTTAAAAGGCATTCAATATATTATTCAAATTGAGTATGTTTCTCTGTACCTGTTAAATCTGAACCCTGGTTAAGGATAGCCTGAGGCAGGCATATTTATCAGGCTCTTACCTTGAGCAGCTAATGTTATTGTTGTTAAATATTTAATGAAGCATCTGCCTCTTATTATGTGCCAATGCTAATTTTTCACTTGCTGGTTTGGTCTGTCTTTCCTTGTCATTATCGGAATCCAGCTTGAAGCTCTATTTTGTGAAGTCTTTTTTCTTTGCTTATTTAAAGGACCATTTCACACCAATTTTTATCAGTGGGTATAGAAGTCATTCCCTTATATTCACTACTTTTCTAAAAACTGAAGCCACACACTTTACACATGGATGAGTGAAGGGCTTGTTAAATTATCTTTCCTTCTTTTTTCAAATATTTATTGAGTACAGACTGTCTAGGGTGGATATAAACAGTGTTAATACACAATTCCTGCCTCTCAAGAAGCTTTTCTTCTAGTAAAAAAAATTGCACGTACCAAAATATATTTAATTATTTAGTGATATGATAATATTCTTGTTTACTGTTTCACATTTTACCATTTTAAAATGACCTCATTTTAACACACACACACACACACACACACACACACACACACACACGAAATGGATTGGAAAGATATGCACCAAGATGTTGACAGAGCTTATCTCTAAATAATGGCATTTTTTTCTTTTATTTTGCTTATCTTGATTATCTAAATGTGCAAAAATTGCATTTTGAAGTTATAGGAAATTCATCATTCTCCTCTCCTTGATAACAGAATAGCGACTCTTCTTCTTGCCTGCAGCTTTTACGAGAATTGAAGCATCCCAATGTGATCGCATTGCAGAAGGTGTTCCTTTCTCACAGTGACAGGAAGGTGTGGCTGCTGTTTGACTATGCAGAACATGATTTGTGGGTAAGTCTAGAATCACTTTCTTTTTTGAACTTTTTTTATAGGAACAGAGAAATAAATGGATGCACTACATATTGCTAATTCACACAAAGAACAGCTTGCTTTGTTGATCATAGTTCAAAACAAATATAATAAATATTAATGGAGATTTAAAAGAATTTGAGCAATACACATTATCATCTTATTTTACTGAGAAGATAGTATTTGTAATAACCAGAAATTTCACTTTCCACAATGCTGAGTGGGAGATTATACTTTTATACAAGTAATTAATGGTAGTTTACTAATATGTCTAGTGAATTTTACTCTTTTGTGGTAGCACAGTAGTTCAAATTTAAACAAGTATGTACTTATAGTTTGTTTCCCTTTCTAAGATAAGGTTAATTTCTTTCAGTATCTTCTCATTTAAAACTGACTCCTCCAGATAGAAGTATTTATGTAGTTTTACAAATATTAGGGGTGTTTTATCAACATATAATGCGAGACAAAAATTCTAATTCCAATTCCAAACTTTTTCAGGACATTTAAACATATTATCTGAGGCGTTTCTAAAAGTAAAAAAAAAAAAAAAAAAATTCAAACTTGTCAGTAAATTTAAATTTTGGATAATAAAATTTTGACTTAATATAAGTGTGGTTTGTCATATATGTCAATTATAAATCTCTTTAGGAATAACTTCAATAGACTTACAGGTCTTGGAATAACTTTCAGAATTAATGCTATTATTGCAGATACTGACAAGAACCTCCATTCTTTTCATGGATATTCAGTACCCATTTTGGGATGTTATGGACAAGGGTGGGGTGGAGATGGAGGTGGAAATGATGGTGTGGGAGGCAAGTAGAATTTTTTTCCTGTTACTCAATTGATAATAATAAAAGCATAATATGCTAATTAAACTGGATGGCCGAACCACCTCCCATCCTTCCAGACAACATTTTGGACAAAGCTGAGGCTGCAAGGGCTGAGCCCCTTGCATGAATTTTGTGCATCGGGGCTCTAGTACTTTTATAATACCCAGTGTGACACGTGGACATAAAAATTAGATTATGGTGATCCAATTTATTTAAAAAGTAAATTCCCATTTTTCTCTCCTCCTTCCTTTCCAATAACTATTAGAAATATCTTCTAATTTCATTGTGTGTCAAAAGAAGGTAGAACTTTACAACAATTCAAATATAGATGTAGTCAATGTGATACTCAAATGCACTATGTACTAACTTTTTATAGAATAGTAAAGATTTATAGTTCTTTTCTTTTTTTAATCTTTCATTTTGTCAGTAGAGACTATAACTAGTACTATTTCTATTTAGAATTTAAATAGAAATTTGAGAGGTGAAGGTGACCTAGGGGAATATTGACTGTGAAATTTCTGAGATGGGAAAGCACTTAAATTATCCCAAAAGGTTGTGTAGTTCTGTCTGGTTCAAAAATGGATAAACATCAAACCTTTTGACCATTTGATCCTAGTTAGTGAAAATTTTAATGATTTCTGTAAATCTAGTCCTTATACCCCATTAAAACTATCACATTCACCCCCAATATCAATTCCATTTTATTGGTTGGCCTTGTTATTCAAATTATTGTTCTTTGTGTCATTATTGGCCTTTAATAAGTATTTTTTAAAATATAGAGAACTTACTACAGTCTTACTTATGTATTATTGACATGACAAAGACTCTTGTTAATAATATATTTTTTTAATTTTTAGCATATAATTAAGTTTCACCGTGCATCAAAAGCAAATAAAAAGCCCATGCAGTTGCCAAGATCTATGGTTAAATCATTACTTTATCAGATTCTTGATGGTATCCATTACCTCCATGCAAATTGGGTGCTTCACAGAGATCTGGTAAGTATGTTTATTTAAAATTTATATGTTTCCCACCTTTCTTTTAAAAGATATTTTTTCTTGCTACAATTATGATAAACATAGAAAATTTTGAAAATAAGCAAAAAGGAAGAAAAGAAAAACCATTCATAAACCTATGATAAAAATTTATCATTATTCTCATTTGGTGTATGCTCTTTCATTATATGAATGCACAGCTATAAAATATCTGTGATTTTCAGCAAGTGATTGATATAATGTTAATGGGATAATCATGTGAAAAAAGTACCTTTTGATCCATTTTGTTTTTTTATTATTGCTTATCATTAGTAAAAACATTAATAATTAAAAACTAAATTTATTTGTATCATAATAATTTATATAGATTTCTAGAAGATATTCTTGACCATAAACTTCTTGAGAGAGTAGGGTCTAAGATTTATTTGGTATATCACTATTCCAGTACACAATGGGTACTGAGGAAACATTTCCTTAGTGAATGAAGACCAGTAAGAATATTATTATGGCATGTTTGGATCAAGTAACATATATTTTGCATTTCAGTACAGTCTCCGATAAATACTTATCATTTCTTTATATGTGCCAAGCCTGGACGGGGACAGTACAACTATGACTGCATCAAAGACCTCCATAGGCATTTAGTTTGAGAAAAGAAATATGACATGCATACCAGTATAAACAGTTACACTGTAAGATAGGTGAGAGAGAATGTGGTCATGCCTATGCATTCCTAAATGCTTTCAAGGTTAGAAAAGGTTGTGAGTTAGGGGATAAGGGAAAGCTTCAGAGAGGTACCTTGTGACCTGGACTTTGAAGGATGAGTAGAATTTAAATTGAAATTTGAGAGGTAAAGGTAACCTATGGGAATATTGACTGTGAAATTTCTGAGATGGGAAAGCACTTAAATTATCCCAAAAGGTTGTGTAGTTCTGTCTGGTTCAAAAATGGATAAGCTGAATTAGGGTAGTGGGAGATAACACTAGAAAGATATGGGTTGGAGCCTTATTAAATAAGGCCCTAAATATCAGGCTAGGGAGTTTGTTTATTTGTGTTTAAGTGCTAAATGCTTGTGAGCAAGAGAATGAATTTTCCCAGGATGTATTATTGTTACCTCATCCATAGCATGAACATAATTTTGAAAATATGTTCTGAACATGGTTCTGACCTAATTTGACACTTGCTTATATTTACCCACACATTTATCAAATGTTTCTACTCCTTGTGTAAGTAACTCTAATAAGATTTGAAACTTGGAACCAATAGGAATCTAGACTGTGACACACTACTCAATTCTTTCCATTGACTGTGAATTCTGTTACTTGAACCATATTGTCATGGTTTTGTCAAAGTATTTCCAGGATAGAAGATTTAAGTTGTATGTTTACTTTGTAGATATATAGTAGATAAAGAAATACAAAGTATAGATATGGTCTTAAAAGGAGCATGTTGGAGACATTTGAAAAATTATTTTTTTGTGTGTGAGCTTAAGAGTAGATTTGCAATTTTAGTCAAGTAATTTTTTTAATGCTTCATTTCTTATTACTTCATTTCCTATTATTTGTTAGTTACACTGTTTCAGAGTATGTCCCATCTCTAAATTAAAGGGTTAGAGTGAATATAAATTTTTAATATAATTCCTAAAACTTAAAAGGTAAATAAAAACAAGTGTTTTAAACTTGACACACATTACAAAATCTGAAGCATTACATCATCAATGAGGTTGGTGTTTTTCATTGTGATTGATTTCCTGTCTGGAACAGTATTTTAATTATGTCATTTGATCCTAGAGTTTAATGCAGAAATAGACTATTTAAAGTCACCAAAAAGATTACTCATATTGAGGAATTGCTTTAAAAGGAAAGGAGAAAAGAAGCTAAATATATTCATCTTGGCTAAGAGACAATTATAAGTCTATAAACATTTGGAACTTGTAAACACAAGGGGGAAAAGATGTATTGTAATTTTATAGCAGGATGTAGCTAAGGGTAAGAAGATAAAATATAGCGTGACTCATTTTTATGAGACTACTACTCTGCTAGGTTGGAAGAATGTCAAGATATAGTATATCTTTTTCAAAATTATGTGTTTCTTGAGAGCAAGGATCATATCTCACTAATTTTTGTGTTCCTAGCACTGGCATATTGTTTCTGCTCATAAGTTACTTGAATTGCATTTTAGCAAAACATCTGGTAATTGCACATTTTTCTTTAGCAAGGGTAGAGAAATGCTGGCTAAAGAATAATATTGTTGTTAAGTGGATTTATGGCTCCTTAGTTACAGAATACTGCTACTGAATCAATGACATAAACTGAACTATAAGTTAAACTCTATTTTTTATTTTCTTATCTTAGTACCTGGCACATGATAAATGCTAGGTGTTTATTGAATGAAAAATTTGAATGAATGTTCAAAGATGGCCCTCTGTTTCTATGCAGTTGTGAAAAAAAGTGCTGTACTGTTAATCATGATACTTTGATTAAAACAAGTACTTGGTAGCTGGAGAATTATCTAGGAAATTATGTGCAGCACAGATTCCTTCATACCTTGTCTGACAAGGAGATACAAGTTTTTAATTGTATTTGTGCTAAACAGGCCTGAGAAGGTAATTTTGTTATACTTAAAAGAAATCCTTAAAATCTTACTGTACCATCATGCACATTGCAAGCATTTTAATAATATTTAATAGTTTTAGCCTTGTGCAGTTCTCATGATATAGGAGCTCTGTGATCCTAGACTTAAAAAAAATTATTTTTAAGATAGCTAATCTGGATGAGTAAGCCTCAGTTTACTCATTTGTAATATGAGGTTAATGATATGTACTTTATATGGCTGTTGACTTCCTATTCTTAGCCCAGAGTTCCTGAATTTCTCCTAATTTCCCTCTGTAGAAGCTCCTGTACTTTCTTTCTGGATTCCATCAGCAATCCTAAGATGCCCTTTCTTTAAACTGCTTTCTTCCCCAGAATTCTTGTAGCCTGATACTCTTCTTACCTTCTTCTACTTTACAAAGTAGAGCCCTAATAGAAATATGTGAAAGATGGTTCTCTATTTTTAAAAAAGAGTAATCCACATTCCATCCTATTTATATCTAAATATTGCTAATATTTTTACCAAGTCTTCATATTTAAAAATATGAAAGTTTAAAAAACTTGCTAAAATGAGATCTAAATTAGTGATTCATTTAACTTAGTTTTCATCCTAACTGTTCCATGCTAATCAAATGAATTTCTATTCATTATTTTTCATTTAACTTAACATTTTCTTACAAAATTATGATAGAATGCAATATATATTTTAATATGACTTAATCATCTTAACCTGTTAACCGGGGAGTTCCCTTTTTAATTATGCAACCTGTAATGGGCGCGTACTCTTTCACTAGGACTTGTCAGTACGTCACGCCCGGAGGACGTAATTTCATATTATTATTATTATTATTATTATAATTTTATTTATACTTAAGATAAATGATATATATTTTTCATTTATTTATATATAAAGCACAAAGGATAATACAAAATTACAAAAAAATAGAAAAGAATACCAACAAAAAAATGGAAACATCGAATTATAAAATTATAAATTTTACAAACAGTTATAAAAATTACAAAAAATATATACCGTCCCTCTCAGGGCGCAACATATATTTCCAGGACGTATTCATACGTCCTACCCATTCCCTATATTGTTTACGTTTGACGTATTTAAAGGTCCCGCTCAGTTAACAGGCTAATTTACTTCAGAATGCAGAACTAACTATGAAAAAGTAAAGTATGGCTTGGTTATCTTCTAACCTGCAATTGTAGGTGATTTTGGATAATTACAGATCTTGTCATGCTGAGAATAACATTTAGGATTCCTTTTGAAGATCTCTGATCCCTAACTAGTTCCTTAGAGCCAGGTCCTCAGTAATCTGTGGCTTAGCCATTCATGTCTGCAGTCTGGAGGCCTTTGATTGTGGTGATGTCATCCATGTGCAGTGACTCCTGTCCTGCTGCCTCTACACAGGCCTTTTGAAGATGAGACAAGATAACGTTTCTTACAATGCTCTAGATACTATGATACATACCTTAAAAACATAAGAGGTATTTTTTAAAGAAGGTATATTTGAAGTGTTTTTAAGTTACGGGTTGTGATTTTTCTGGCATGACAGCTTTTCCGTCATTCACACAGATAGCCAGATAACTGGAGATTTCCACAGAGTCCTATACGCCTCTCTGAGTTAGAGCACAATGCTCTACCAGCTGTTTGATGCGCTAAGTATTACACTTGCAAGAGAACAAACTTCAGAGGAGATGTGTTAGACTCACAGTGGCCTATGAGGCCTCCTGAGGTTCAGTTTAGGGACAGGGCTCTTTTGATGATCCCTGACTTGGACATAAAATTTTAGTGGCTTGTATTGACAAACACATGTATCTAGAAGGTTATTTGCCAAACTAAATTCAAAGTGTTAAAAAACAAAATTCAGCTGACTAAATTGAAAGATTAAATTGGCTTTATTCAACTATTCATGAATCAAGCAGCATCTCATCTAGCTAATAAAAAGGAGCTCTTCTGAGCTATAGAAGAAAAGGTTTTAAAGGCAGAAAGGAAGCAGGGGAAGAAAGGATATTATTAGCAAATGCATTGTTTCAAGTAAGGGTCATGGAAGGGGCCTATCATGCAGATGACCTCACTATTACTGACCAGGTAATTCTACATTGACTGTTAAAGATTACATTTCTGGGAGTGGCTGGAACTGTAATTAGATTAAGTGTTAAATCTTAGTTTGCTGATGTGGGGCCTGGCACAAGTGACTCCATTTTGGACCTTTTGTCTCTCTCTCTCTCTCTCTTTTTTTTTTTTTCTTAAACTTCATCGAGGATATGTTTATTGATTTTAGAGAGAGGAAGGGGGTAGTGAAGAAAGGTAAGGGAGAGAGAGAGGGAAGGAGAGAGATTGGTTGCCTCCCTTACATGTCTTGACTGGAGATGGAACCCATCACCTAGGTATGTGCCCTG